CAAATGTAAAACATTAGTGTGTCCTCACCAGTAGTTCATTGTGGACATTCGTCAGTAAATATTTGTGCATATGCTTAGCCTTAATCCTTTCCTACAAAGAAAAATATGCAAATGGTAAATTTTTTTATTATTTTCTGATCATGAAAACTACTGCATTTTGCATACATCTATTATCTATAGAGAGATTTGTTGTTTTCTTACCAGTAATTGTTTGTATGCAGCCATAATCAGTTTTTCTGTCTCCCGTTTCGTCTCAATATTTTTCTGCAAGGGAAAAGCAACACAGTTTGATATTAGATATTTAATTACATGTAGCTCATTTTCTGCTTGTGCCTTTCTAAAAAAAAATATTTGTAGATATGTCCGTCTGAGTGTGATTTCTCACCATAAGTATTTTATGATTTTGCTTCAATATTTTCTGATGATCTCTCTTTGCTTTTTGTTTCTGTTTATCATTGAAGATTTCCTGTAATAGAACAAATGGGACTTGATTTTACTTGAACACTAGTTTGTTTTTAAAAAGTATGTTTTTACTTTCTTAACATAATTTTTATGCCGATATTATTCTATATGCTTACCAGCAATTCCCTATGTACTTGGTTTAATCCCAATGAATGAATTTTCTTAACTTCGATTTCCTCCTACAATAAACAACAACACATTTTGTCTTTTTAAAAGTTCGTCAGTCCACAAATGGAGGAGGACACTGTTTTTAATTAACAAAAAATGCACAATTCTTTTTTTCTTACCATTCGTTTTTCATGATTCTGTTTTAGAATTTTCTGTGGGTCGCGTCTCTTTATTTTGTGCTTCAATATTTTCTGATGATCTCTCTTTGCTTTTTGTTTCTGTTTATCATTGAAGATTTTCTGTAATAGAACAAATGGGACTTAATTTTACTTAAACTCTGGTTTGTTTTTAAAAACTATGTTTTTACTTTCTTATCATAATTTTTATGCCGATATTATTCTATATGTATATGCTTACCAGCAATTCTTTGTGTACTTGGTTTAATCCCAAGGAATGAATTTTCTTGTCTTCGATTTCCCTCTACAATAAACAACAACACATTTTGTCATTTAAAAGTTCATCGGTCCACAAATGGAGAAGGAGACTGTTTTTAATTAACAAATAAAAATGAGCAATTCTTTTTTCTTACCATTCGTTTTTCGTGATTCCGTTTTAGAATTTTCTGTGGATCGCGTCTCTTCATTTCGACCTTCTGCAAAAAAAAAAATGTCTTTTTTAGAATCTCCATTGAAACACATATTTAAAAAAAATGTTGGTTATGATAGTAAGTGTTAACTTATTCTTGATTTCTTTCCGTGTAGTCAAATTTTACAGCTATTTTGCCACTTAAAAACCATGTTTTGTGACGTGTTTAAATGTATATTGCTATTATTTCTATCAAAATACTTCTTTTTGCTTCTCTGCCTCTTCTACAACATCCACCCAGTTATACTCAAACTTCAAAATCTTCATCTTTTCGTCCTAGAAAAAGATAGGTTGATAGAAAAAGTTTGGGTCTATACTATGGCAGTATCAGTCTGTTGCAATTTTGTTCATGATTCTTAACTTGAAAAGCCTACATACGTACACGATTACATTTAACATGGAACAAGTACGATACGATGCATATAAAAATAAAGGCTATGTAGTTATTGAAATAATGATTTAGATCCAGTACTTTTTCTGAAAATGCTCCACAGATTAATTTAATCTTAGTATTCAATATTATAAATTTTAGTATGGGTGAAATATACAATTTTTTTTTTCAAATAAAGATAAGGAGGGGTTTTCTTTTGAATGATTGTCGATTCAGCAAAAAATCTTACCACATTCTTTACTGCCTCCTCACCAAAATCCAACACCTCCCCGTAATCTATTTTAAACGCCATTCTGAAATACACAAGAAAAACTGACAATTCCTAAGTACATGTAATTCCTGTTGTCTCTTGTGTGTTATTAAAACGTCCCCCCCCCCCCTTTCACTTGTAGTTAAGGATTATTTGCTGACTACAATTTTGTTATATACCCAGTCGATGCAGATTTAAGGATGATGTATATTTAAAAAGAGTTTGACTCCTTTGTGCTCCTCAGACGATGTCCGTACGGTTGCTAATGTCTTGCGCCTTTTCTTTTGTATGCATGTTGGGGAAATGTACTAAGAACACTCGAATCAATTAATAAATAACCAGCATTGCCTTCTCCAAGAAAGGAAACAGCGGTATCATTCAACCATAAGGAAACGAATTCGTTAATTTGCTGCTTACAACACATTTGTAATACTCACTTTGTACTCCTTTCTTTTGTTTTGGTTGCAAAGCAAATGATATTGTGATGTCATAAGGTCATCGTCAAAGACCTCTGAGAGACTGAGACATCACAATATTATGACGTTACCATAAATATAATTGCTTATATACATAAATTCAGGATCAAAAACATAAGTTGTTTTATCTTTCTTTTTTTTTTAAATCATAGGCGTTCAAATACCTTAAAAACCATTATTTGTTCGTTTTTGAACTGCAGTTTTATATGTGACGTACGGAAAATGACAGCTTATGAACACTTACCTTCTACGCCTCTCCTTTTGTTGCAAAGCAAATGTATTATGACGTCAGTGCGTGATCGTCACAATGTTATGACGTTGCAATGGTTAATGGGATGGGGGGAGTAAAGATCTTTACTGGAAAAAAAATTCTGCACAAAAGACAGATTAGTTTCAAGTTGATTAGAGAGAGATTTGTGAGAGGGGTTGAAGATACCACGAGTCAGGGTCAGATTATTTATTTTCTTCCCTGGAGGACAGATTATTTATTTCCTTTTTAAAGACAAATTAATTCCCAAAATTTGCCATCCATCTATCAAATGGTCGTTCTCTATCAAGATGATAATATGATTTAATCAGGACGGCAGGACGCAGCTTCACTTTGGTCGCAGAGTTGAACATGTTCTTACTTTTCAAGTATAAAATGATAACCATAATCTAATAGATGTTTTCCTCTAAAATAGGATGCTGTGTCAGTATATCTATTTAAAAATTGCTAATATGTAAATTAATAATATATATATATATATATATATATATATATATATATATATATATATATATATATATATATATATATATATATATATATATATATATATATATATATATATTAAAGACTTGTGAAAATTTTGGGGAAAAGTGTTGATTTATATTTTCCACTGTAGGCAACTTGTCAACGATTTTACCGAATAATCCTCGTATGTATAGAATTAACACTACTCGAATAAGTTATTAAACATTATTGCTTTAATTTCTCCTTCATTGCTTTTAATATTTTTTAGGAGTAAAGAAAAAGGCGTGGAAGAACATTTACTAGATCCCGCTATATTTGAAAGGATTTCTTTAAAGTTTTAAATCCAGTATTAGGTATGGTAATTCAAATTCAATTTGAATGTTGGAAATATTGAAAAACATATCTTAAAAATATGATTTTGGAGAATCTCCAGTATTATTTTTTAGGAGCAGGAAAAAGCAATTTTAAAATCATATATGGCGTATTTTTTTTTAAAAGTCAGACTAACTAAAATCAAAAAGATCTTTCTATTTGTTTTATAACTTTATATAAAGATACGACTTTCCTGTAAATTACACAATTTAAATCAATCACGTTTCAAAGATATTAGAAATTTAAAACAGTAATTGATTTATTTACCGACTCCGAATTTAAATACAGACACAGTTTAAAGTCAATTTAACTATGGAAACGTGAGGTTATTCAGATTTAAAATCAGTGAAAATTTTAATTTGAACGTAAATAACATATATCATGTTTATCTACACTCACTCTCGTATTTTTATTTCTTACCCAGATACACATATAGCTTTAAAATATTATGCACAGAGTTCACGCAGTGTACTCTTTTGATTCATAGCGACGGGATGTTGCTTTAATTGTTCAGATTGGTGTAGTGACAAATGGGATGTGTAGTGACAAATGGGATTGTGTTAGCACACTGGCAAGTACAGGCAAGGAAATAAATCTACTTTCAGATTACCATACTAACTGATTTGTTGATCTTTGATTGCCCTCTTTCTCTGTTCTTGGGCAATTGCAATATATATATCTAATGCGAAAATTAGTCACAGAACGTGGAAAAAAAGTGGCGTTAAGCCATTGATAATATATTGTCGAGAAAAACAAAGGTGTTATCAGTAAAATGAAAGAAGATGGGATAAAAGATTTAAGAGAGAGTCGAGCAGAAATTAAGGATACAATCCAAGTCTTAACGCAAGCAGTTCGAAAAAACAAGAAAATCATTCATTCCGTTGATGCAAATGAAATCAACCAATACAAATTGACGTCACAGAACTTATACCAGAATATTCCATTAGAAGTTGAATTACAACTTCCAACATTTGTCCCTTCGCAGATAAATTCTGTTCAACAGAAATTTGGAGTCCTAAGTGCTCCTGTGATTTTGTGTCAACCCAAAACAAGAATAGAATCAGTCTCAAAAACCTCGGAAGCCGCTAGACAAAGCCATTGAAATAAAAACATTTTCTGCTGAGAACAACTTGAGGCAGATGGCTTGTCTTGGAACTGATGAGGCTTGGATAACGTACTCGTATAAAGAAATGTCAATCATCCAACGAATAAACACACAGGATTTCATACTGGAGACCGTTATCTCTAGTTGTGTGGATTGGAATATGGTCATCCGAGTGACATTTTGATAAAAAAAAAAACGGAGAGCTATTATATACAGATAGAATGAAAAGATCTGTTAATATTGTCAGAGATGGCAAATCTACCAACTTTATCACGGTGCAAAAGGGATGCATGGAGACGCTAGGACTTTGCGGCACAAAATCAGGCGACTTGCTGGTCGCTATGGGTACTTCTTGTTAGGGAACTTATAACATTGTGCGCCACGAAGGACAAAAAGTTAAGCAGGAGATTAAAAAAGATGACCAGGGGAATTCTTTATTTAATAAAGGAGATATAATGTTCTACGTGGCAGAGAATGTCAATGGGGATATATGTGCTTGTGACGTGAACGCCAGGGCCGTTGTTGTGGTCAACAAGAAGGGGAAACTCCGATACACATGTAAAGGAATGCAAACGATGGAAGGAAAGTTTATTCTATGTACCATTATTACGGACGCCATGGATCATATCCTGGTGGGTAATAATGGAAATAAATGCATCATTATCAATCAGCACGGGCAGTTTCTCCGTAGTCTGGATAACTATGATAGATTAAGTATTGACGATCTAGGACGACTCTGGGTGGGGGAATCTGGAGGTAATGAGGTGAAAGTCTTCAAATATACCGAATAGTAAACAGTCATAGTATTCGGGTTAGCACTGCCCTCTCACCAACAGAAAACTAGTCATTGTAATGTATATAATGAATATATTTAAATGATGCCAAAGTGTCAGATGAAATGTACATGTATATATTATGTGATTAATTAGTACTGTGTAATTTGCAAATAAAGATGCTTGCAAGGATATTTGTAATTTGGAGACTGTTTAAAAATTGAGAGAATTATATTTCTTGAAGAGATTACTTTGTTCTTATTACTGAGTAAATAATTACGAACAAATTTGTGTAGATAGAAAGAAAACGTGTCCCGTTTTAACATAATGTTTAAATATATTTAATGGATATTTTAAGAACAGTTTGAAGTTGTGCATGCACAACTTTATACTTATATAGCAAACTCAAGCATACCACTAGTCGTATTACACTATGAATTACACTTTTGCCTAAAATCACAACCTCGTGCATTGCTAAGATCTGATTTTCACATGATCTTGAAACTGTGGGTTAAAAAGCTTAAATAGCTATGTAAGCAGATAGAAAAAAAATCAGAGAAATCGCACCTATAACTACATGTACCAAACAGAGTAAGATTTTTTCTTGGAAAATTGAATCTGGTGCGTGGGTTTTCATGGGAGAAATCCTACTCTAGAGCCCGCTTTCCAGTTGGGGGGGGGGGGGGACCCACTCTTGAGCCCATTTTCCAGTAAAAAAAATCTTATTCTCGAGCCAATTTTCCGGGGGCGAAAGGGGGGGGGGGGTAGGGGTAGAGGAGAAAGACTACTCAAGACCAGTAGCAGACGGTTAGTACATTATGTCATTAAAAGGCAATACGAGTAAAATAATTTGCATTGTAAATGGCTAGATAACAGTATGGATTTTGAAAGGTGGCAGCCAGGGGGGGAAAGTCAACTGAAAAAAACTTTGACAAGCAAGCAAAACAAACAAAAAGAACAAAAACAAAACCAAAAACAAAATAAAAGAAAGAAAGTTGTCCAAACTCAAAAATCCTGTTTCGTAATTGGGGGAGGGGAGGGGCAACTTTCTTCCATAAAAAAGATTTTATTAATACATTACCAGTGCTACCACAGCAAGTTGTGGGTCCAAACAGCCTTTCCATGAATATTTTCAATAGTAAAAGATTATGTATAGATAAGAGCGGGTGGTGCCAGCACCCCCCCCCCCCGATACTATGTGCCTAAGTATCTATCGCTTGAAAAGGTCAAAGAGAATTGGGTACCATGTGCAGCTAGGTTACATATTTACATGTACATAGTAGGCCTACATTGAACCAAGTCCGTGGCCACCCCTTGGAACTTGAAATAATAAAATATCTTTTTATTCATTAAAATTAAAAGCCCATAACAGGCCCGTAGAACGCGGGAGGGGGGGGGGCTTTTTTCTGAGTATAGCATTTTGTTATAGTTAATTTTCGTTTAGATGCTGGTTAACCCCCCCCCCCCCCCACACACACACTTTTTGTTGCTGTTAGGTCGAGCACTGGCAAGTTCCAGGATTTGGACAGTTAATTAGGTTTTTTTGGCGTACTCGTGGTACCAAAAAGTTCCAAAAAGAAATAAACTCACTTTGATTTAATGGATATATAGCAAATTACATGTAATAGTAGGTTTAATTTAATTTTATTGTTCTTTATTAAAATTAGCACTGTTCAGACTTTGTTTCGGTAATACAACATTACATACGACGTCATGTGACGTCAGAGTGTAGACGTACCAAATACGTGCGGTTTGAAGAGCCCGATCTAAATTAAAACTGACAAGGTATCTGCGCTCGCCCTAACGGTCGCACCGTCAACATATTATTATGACACATTAAATGGTATATGGGATCATGACTCTCTTGGGGGTCAACCCAACCCCCTGAAATAATCATATATCTAATTAAGAAATAGGCCCTAAATAACAAGTTTAAAAACTTCTCTGGGAAATGAAGTGGGTCGGTCACGTGATCAAATCCAGTGAAGACCGATTTGATCACGTACCGACCCACTTCATCTCCCAGTGAAGTTTTTAAACTTATTATTTATTACTTATATATACGTTTGAGACGGACAATTGAATATAATCGAATATAAATATTGCACTAACTGATAGTCGTAGATTTTGACAAATTACGCACTTGGACTTTTAGTTAATTTGGAAAACGAATTAAGAACTATTTTTTGTGTTATTTATAATTCTTTTTCATTTTCACAAGTTCTTGGTGTAAATCGGCTTGAAAAGCGGTTACGCTTCAAATTCATCTGGCAAAGGATTCTGTTTTGTAGGGAATATTCTGTGAAAGGCGACTTGTGATCAATTATAGTGAGCATATTGGTGTCTGGGAATTTTTGTATTCGTGAGAACCCATATTCGATGTAAAAAAAAAACACAAGAAACACGTCCGATGTTTGATGATAAAGAGTTGGAGGAATTTCGGTCGGAAAGGGATGGATGGAGACACTTGTCTGCACTAGTTAACTTGGAATCAAGTTTTAAATTTGATCAGATACATAAAATCTAAGATTTCAATAAGGCATATTTATCATGATGTTGACACGGAGACACAGGCGACAGCTTACATTGTTAAGACAACGATCTCGATGATGGAGGTGTGCCTACCGAACTTCCAAAGTGCAGTGTTTGTCAGCTGTTTGTGGCGTGATTGCATTACATTGACATTTTCCAACAAATTTTCAAATTTATTGTGAGTAAAGTTTATTGAAAAAAAAAAATATAGCATTCGAAGGTCTACAAGAAAAATAAGGGTAAACGTTGAGACTATGCAGCTCAGACATGAAATTTATAACAGGTAGTTTTCTATTCTGTATGTAAAATCGATCAAGAACTGTATTAATTACTCGTTTACTTTGTAAATAAAATGATTATTATTTTACTTGGGTATTTTGTACATTTTTATGCATGAAAAACATGCTATATTGCTAAGTAGAGCAAGTCTTTTTATTGCTAGCGCTCTCGAGCGCTAGCAACTAAGTTAGTCTATGTTTCTGAAATACGCATGCTCGACTTCACGGTCGGGGATTCTGGGAAAACTACTGTAGATAGACTGTACGATAACAATTTAGTTTTGTCATACAAAAATAGAAATGATCCGAATTTACACTGACCTTTCCTGTCTGATATGCGCGATATACATTTCGTAGGTTAGAGACAGTCAATACCAGTCTAGATCCGGATTCTGAATTTTTTTTTAATTTATTGTCTAACCTACACATAAAAGTACAAGAAAAAATTTGGCCATATAATGCCAAGATTCTAGACATCTAGCTTTCCTTATAGTTTTACCACCTTCGTGGATAATTCCGGCAAGCTCGGAAAAATACAACAACAACAAAAATCTTTTTCAGAGTATGTCGGAAAGACATGTCAATTTAGTGTTTATCATCTGAAAATACATATGATCTGAAATTTTTTGTTTTGTTGTCTAACCTGCACGTAAATGAACAAAAAGTGACAGTAACTCGGATCTTATAAAACCAAGACTGTTATTTCTAAAGTTGTAATGAATACATAGCTTTTCTTATGTACCTTCATGGATCTTTCCGGCAAGCTCGGAAAACCGCGGCAACCTCGGACATGTTTTCCGAGCTTGCCGGAAAGTCCCGAAGATGCTCATTGGTTCTACTGACCTTTTTGATTTTCACCTCGAAATTGAAATTACAGTAAAATACAGAATGTTTAAAGCACAGTTAGGAGTTATGCCATTGCCGACGTGAAGCACACTCTTAGATTCACCATTCTGAATTGTGACCCCCCCCCCCAACTCAACCCGCAGTGCAACCAATCTGCCTTCCTATTAATAATTAATCGATTCAGCAAATTTAACAAATGGTTCAGATATCTTCTTCTGTATTTTATTATGCTACAGCGCTAACTCACCAATCTTTTTAAAAGATAAGCTTGTGTAGATATTACTGCGCTATGTAATTAGGTCACATCATGACCTATGACCTTCGAAAAACTTCATATAGGTATGAAGATATTTGCTCTCTTTATCGCGCAAACGCCTGTCGTGACACGAGGCCTCGGTTTTTAATGTCTCATCTGAAGGACCCGCAACTTTCACTTCAAAGTGCCGAGCGCTTGGCGAAGGAACAGTTGCTACCTATTTTTATCGACTCAGGTCAGTCGCAGCCCGGGCTCGAACCCGCGACCTTCCGATCACGGGGCGAGCGCGTTTGAGGCATGAAGCGCTGCTTATTTTTTCAGAAAAGTTTTTTTAACTGTCTCCGGATTTTTCCGGGTTTTTTCCCCGATCATGACAAGGAACACACGGCGGGTGTGACCGGTCGGCAGGGGATGCAAACTCCTCCATGGCACCTGATCCCACCTCTACATCTGAGGTCCGTGTTTACTCTGCTCCAAATTTGTATCGTTTCATTGGACTTTCGAGATTGAATACTGTTCGTTATCTTCATATTTTATCATAATATGAAGAAATTTTAACAAAGACAATAGGAAGAGTAATAAATTATTATCACAAAATAAAATTAAAAATATGTCAAATATGTGAAAATAAAATTTAGTGTCATACCTACTAAATTCATATTAGAAAACATAATAAAGCGCTGCATCCTACATCAGAATATTACAATGTTATATGTGGTTGTAAGAAAACAATATATCTTTTAGCAAGAGTTATCTTTTTATGAATATTTTTTCACAGGAAAATAAAAATGTAATACTAATAAAAATTCTACATTTGGTACTTGATACATTAAAACATTTTTAAAATGTTCCTTAAAAAGATAGAACTTAATATTCAATTTTAAAGGTTTTAAAACTGGATTTAAATGTTTTTGTCAAATATAAAAGAATTTGAAAAAAAATATAGGCAAAGGATGTTTCGTGCCTGCGCCTATTGCGACACGGAACCTCGGTTTATACTGTCTCACTCGAAGGACCGGTCTCCACGTCCCACAGTGGGATTCGATCCCGCGACGTATGGATCAACTCCTTACTCCGCGACTCTAGAGCAGACGCTATAACCATTGCGCGACGCGGGCGACTCCTACCTTTATGAACTTTTCAAACATGAAAAATTTTCTTCAGTATACAGCAATGCACATATACAGTGTATACTGTGAATAATAATTGTGAAAGACTGTTGAAATGCATGAAATATTTCACTTTTTAATGTTTTAAAATACAGAAAACATTTGATTCAACTATGAAAACAGATTACATCAATGTCATTATGTCGATTAAGTCTGTTTTGGTGATTCTCTATTTTGTTTCAGTATCTGTCTGGTAGACCAACAGGGCGGTATCTGTTTGGATCCCCACCATTTCGCCCCCATACATTGGCTGCCTGATCTCTAGCGGTGTCTTCTGGTCCCTGGCCACTCAATCCGCTCTGATAACGCTCTCTGGCATTACTAAATAGTAATATAAGCATGAACTTAATAAATCATGACGTAGAGACGGATTGCTACACAAGAGCAAGGAAAATATTAGGAAAAAATATTTTAGCCAATGTTTTATCATGCAACGATTTAAAACCTTATTTTGCACAACTTTTTACCTGATTACTCTTGCTGCCCAACGACCCCCGGGACCTCTTCTGGCGGCGTCATAGTTACCACGTGCATGGAAGTACTGATCCGAATTCCGCCAATTAGCTTGTCTCATATCACTGAAAAAGATACGTAGTGCTCACTTTAGTGACAGTCATTTATATTTCAAAATCTGCACGACTTATATTAATGGGGAGATAACTTAATTTCAAATCATAGTTACTTGACTACGTGATTTTTTATGCTGATATATGATGATATGGAATCATTATGTTTCATCATAAGAGTTGAATTTTCGTGAATTTTATGCAGACCCTTTATTCATGAATTTTATTTTACAATATACATATAAATCGTTTGCGTACGATTTCTTACACTCGATTTTTAACCATTAATGTCTTAAAGTTAATATATGAGTGCATTATGTAAATACTGCATGTAGTTTAGGGTAACATTGACAATCCCCCCCCCCCCCTCAACTATATGCAAAATATTTTTTTTATATAAATACTAAATGTTCAATACAAACACATATAACAGTGAACCATTAGCGCATATACATGTATTCCGTGCAGTCAACTTTTTTTTACTAACACCCTTGTTAAAGTATTGTTGACTGTTGTCAGTTCTATCACGCTGGGGGCTTGGTTTCATATTTCAGAGGGTAAGTGTTTCTTAAAACAAGAATAGATATGGGTTACCCCATATCCAAGATATTCGACTTTTAATTTATTCGAATTTTCATTGTGTTCAGATGATTTCTAATAAAAAAAACAAGTATTTACTGACAAAACGTCAGAGATACTCAAGCTGTAGAAAGTCAACTATAAAAGTGCCATATACATAAATATCCTTAAATGACACAATATTTAGGCTACTGAGTTTCAACATCTTTTGTTGATTAAAATATGCATATAGTAGGAAACAAACTGCATGTACATATATAACGTTACATGCATGTAGTGACTTTATCACAAAGTTGCACATGCATAAAAATAGTTTTAATTTCACATAGAACATAAACTAAATATAATTAATCGTATAATTTTAAAAATGTATTTAACGCCTCACTCATTTTCAGGAATATTTAATCAAGATAGCATGTTACAGGCCTATAGCAACGTTTTCAAAGTGAAAGGGGGGGGGGACTCCCAAAAAATCCCGCGTACTATGTGCCTGTGCTACATGTGTACCATCTAACTTTCCAATGATAGAATCTTCTGTAAAAAAAAAATTCAAAACAAGTCCAAGCCGTTATGGATTATCAAAGATGGCCCATTTTCATAAATAGCAAAACTTTAGATCTATCAAGGATAGATTTTAATTTATTTTTTAATTTTGTGCTATTATTAAAAAGTACTATCACTCAAAGTATAGGCAGATGTTAAAGATGGTCCAACCTGTCACCTTTTAGAGTAATCAATGAACTCGTCCAGTGATGCATTGACGGCCGTTGTTAAACCCAAAGGAAAGCGCGAGATCGGTTGCGGCTACGGAGCATCACTGAATATTCCTCCACCATGAACTGATTTTGAATATACAGACGTTTTGAAGATAAACTTCATTTTTGTCTCTAGAAATGTCTTTATTTACAAAATTAGTACGTTTTCGTGTTAGATCGATGACCATAACTCAGCCCCTCTAGCCCAGTCTAGGGCTTCACCTTGAGTAAAAAACCTGCACTTGTTATGAAACTGGTGTATAGTTCTAAACTTCTTTATGTCCGTAGCAAGTACCGATACCCAGTCCGTAGCAAGTAACGATACCCAGTCTACTGATCTAAGCGTCACTAGGGAACGATGCACACACCTGTTCTTGCAAGACCAAATAGCCTAGGTCTACACACGTGCGAAGATCTTTCCGAGCTCGGAAAATCACGTTGCTTTGCCGAGAAGTGTTTAACCATAATAACCATTCCGTTATTTAAAAAAAGAGAGAAAAAACACACACACAGTTAATGATTAACATTCTAACTCAAAAGAAAATATACGGCAATTAACGAACAATAATCATGACCAGTAATATAATTGGTGAAAAGATTTATCATTATCAATCGAAGTGTGACCTATATATTTTCGTGAAAAAGACTGAGGAGGCAGCGAGCGTAGGAATATGAAAACTTTTTATTTGCTTTTCTGGGGAAAAAGTGATTTTCTTAAAATCTTTTAACGTTAATTTTGTTTTCTTTAACGTATTAAATATACATGATTATTCTTAATATTTGTTGTAATGTTTTATCTACTGATCATGAATGGAACTATTTTCTTCGGAGCAATTGTGTGAAGAGTACCTGACTTTAGTAATATATCTTGAATAGATAATATGCACTGATCGAATATATTAAAAATGTTTCTCCACCAATTAGATTCAACTAATTTACATGAAAGTATTTTTTTTTCTATTTTCAAACATTCTAGATATACGAGTATGTCCGAAATCGAAACTTGACAGTAAAGTTATAAAAACGATAAAATTTGAAAAATCGAACTTCATTTTTAAAAAAATCTGACTCCCTCCAATGGCCATCTTTTATTTAAATGAATGGGGTAAAAAGAATTATACTGTTTTATGTATAGTGCAACTTGAAAACAAATAAAAATAATAATTAAAAAAAAAATGATGTTTAGACTTTAGGCAAAGTATACTGAAATCTTATGAAAAATGACCATTCAAAATGAAAATCTTTCTTATTTTATGTCATTGCCTCAATTTAAAAAAAATCAATTGGTAGATGAACATAAATTTTCATCCCGTTCATATAAATTGGGGAAGACTTTTTAACATCGATCATGATCAGGCGGTTGAATAACCCATTACCAAATCACAGGTACTTGTGGACAGGGACCCCCCCCCCCCAATATTCAACCCCAGGGCTTGTTGGACATTTTTTTCACAAATTATATTTATTGCACTTATTCATCATGTGTACCATAGGAAAAAATCGTAAAAACCCCAAAATAATCGTTCTACACAAAAATACCCTACTATATAGTGGGGTATTTTTGTGTGGAGCGATTATTTTGGGGTTTTCACGATTTTTTCCTATGGTACATATGATGAATAAGTGTAATAAATATAATTTGTGAAAAAAAAATGTCCAACAAGCCCCGGGGTTGAATATCGGGGGGGGGGGGGTCTTGTCCACAAGTACCTGTGTACCAAATTCTACAGTCATATCCATCGTCCTATCACACTAAAAAGGAAAATGTGAATCTTATAGAGTATTACAATTCACCAAGGAGGGTCACACTCTCTTCAAAGAATTTCTAACATACTTGCCTAAAAAATGGAATTTAATTTTCGGGATCACACGCATAAAACCATACACTTATAATACAGACACGATTAATTGCACTCACCTGTACGCTCTGTACATATCTCTGGCTCCCTGGGCAGCCTGTCTGGCGAAACTTAGCCTACTACGGAGTCTATCTAGAAATCCTTGTGCTAAAGTTTGCTCAGTCAAGACAAGTGATATTAAAATCACTGCAACTGTGATATTCCTCATTATGAAACTGAAAAAAAAGATAAATTTAAAGATTTAAAAAAAACAAACCGATGAGGTTTAAGTTATTTGTCTTGGAGAGACATCTAAGCTTCAATTCTTAAATGGAAATTGTACACTCTGATGTGCCTATTTTAATTCATTTCTTGATTTACACTTCAAACAGAGCAGCTTCTGGGCGATGTACGGAATAATGCCTATAAAAAAGACAAAAATTTATATCTTAAAAAGCTACATACTAAAGAATGAACTACTTACCGTCTCAATCGAATTACTGACAATAACCATGTAGGCCATATACCTTAATTTATATAAAGTTGATGACCTCATTAGAGATTTTTCAAAAACATTAATTAACTTCCTATTTGTATTGCGGAGTCCGCTTCCAATGCAATAAGGAAGAACAAGATATCATCTGACTCCTTGTAGTGCTTACCGGCCAATCATGCAAAAATAATAATGAAGTGGAATCAAATCATGTGTCGCATTCATGTAAAAGTGGTTTTGATTCTATATGTATGACAAGCTGTTGTGACTTTGTATTGAAAAAATGTTTGAGTTAAGAATATATATGTTTAATGCTAACTATGTTTAAATCTTTTTTTTTCTTTTGAAAAAATACAAAACGGGAGCAGAGCATACATGGACTTCCAAAAACATCAGAGGTGGGATCAGGTGCAATGGGGCATCCCTCTGTCGACTGGTCACATCCGCCGTGTGCTCACTGTCATGATCGGGCAAACGAAAAAATCCGTAGACAATCCAGTGTTTAAATAATGGCCTAACAATTAGTATGAAAAACGTCAGTCAGTATTCGACTAAATGAATGATAGATTGTATTTGCTGACAAGGTCATTGTTTCGACCATAGAACTTGCGAAATGATTACTTTAAACGAGGCTGTTGATATCATTGTTTCATCAACTTGTTTGTCAAAGATTGCCTCGTTTTTAGAAATTATTCGTACGTGGAGCATGCTAGCTCGAATCAGCTGTGAGATATAAACCTCATATGTGCAGATGATAAGGGTATATTGCTACATAAGTAAGGGAAGTGGCGATAGAAAGGTTGAAGTCATCACGTTTATCATAAATTTTTGTTGTTAGGTTACCATTATTATCTCTTTCTAGTAAAATACGCGTATCCATATATGAAACAGTCGTGTCAGAAACTGTGGTATCTTTTATTTCAAAATCACTGGAAAGTGTTTGGTTTCGAATAATTTCTTTTTGTAAGTGTAATTTTTTTAATCACTTTGCAAAAATAAATAAATAAATAAATAAATAAATAAATAAATAAAACAAAAAATCTAGTCTATAGAATTAAAAATTTTCCCTTTTTGTGACCTTTAATACAGCACCTATATGGAATTCAATTCATTCATTTGAAACTACATGTATCAATTATGCCGTTAATTTAGTCCAATACATCGATTTCAAAATGCTGCAGTTTATTTTAAAAGGCCAAATAATCATGTTTTTTACGTCACAGTGATTTACATTACATTTGATTCGTATTATATTTTATTTAGGAACGAATTTTCCCGTTAGCGATTAATATTTAATGACATCTTTCATCAAAAGTTGACATACAGAAAACAACTGAAAATGTTCTCTTCTTTATCAGGTATGAAATGTAATGAACATTTTAAAATGGCCATTGGCACAAATTAACTGAATTTGGGTGTTATGTCCCCGTAATAGGAGATTTGGGGCATATAGTTTTTCATCTGTTTGTCCACAAAAACTTTTATTTTGCCCATAAATTTTGATAAGATGTTGCTAGGATTTCATATTTCACATGTGCATTTCTTGTGACAAGACATTTCTTTGGGTAGCAATATTTTTGACCTCATAACTTTAACCTACCTATTTTGAAAAAAAATTAACAAACTTTAAACTTTGACCATAACTTGTGAATGGTTGGTGCTAGGGCTTTAATATCTCACATGTGTAATTCTTGTGACATTACCTTTCTTTGTGTATCAACATTTTTGACCTCGAACTTGGAGTTTGACCTTCTTTTAAAACATTTAACCTTGCCCTTAACTTTTGAATGGTTGGTGCTAGGGCTTTCACGTGTATATTTCTTGTTACCTTTCTTTGGGTACCATCATTTTTTTTTTACCTCAGCACCTTGTAGTTACCTACTTTTGAAAAACTTCAACTTTGACCATAACTTATGAACGATTGGTGCTAGAGCTTTCTTATTACACATACGGGTATATTTCTTGTGATTAAACCTTTCTTTCTGTGCGATTACAAATATTTTTGGTGTATTCCCGTTTTGCACACATTTGATAATAAGGGATAGAACAATACGTGTTAAATATGTTTTGATAGCAATTATAGTCTGTCCTCCGTCTGGGATTTACCTGGCATTACCTGTATTTTACTAATGCATTATAATAAATATTTAAGGGAATACATCATGAAAATTTTACTTATCCAATCGAAGATGAAGTTGATAGTTTAGACAAATATCCCTATCGCATATCACCCTGTTTCTTTATTTCATAAAGATAAAATGAATAAGTAAATGAGTAATGAATTCAATCTTAATTAATAAAAAAAAAAATTAACTTTTCCAGTTAGTATCATGTGAATATAATTATAGTTTTGATTGGTATTTGTGATATTTTTTATGTTTTAAACTGATTTTTTCAAGAAATAAGTCAAATTATCAAATGCAAAATTAACATTTTTTTCTTGCTATTTTTTCCGTAGTATCTCTTTCTCCAAATTAACAATTATGATATAGACTTTAGCAATTAAGTAATTATCTTACCTGGACAAATTCCCGTTTTGCACACATTTTTTCAATACTTAAAATTCAAATGTGTGCAAAACGGGAACAAACCGTATTTTTTACCTCATGACTTGACCTTCAAGTTTAACCTACTTTAAAAAAAAAAAAAAAAACCTTTCACCTTGGCCATGAGCTGCAACACAAGGACATCAGTGTTTCACAAACACATTTTGTTTGAATTGATCACAACCTTTATGGGGAGGATATTCTTATATTAAAAGCTTTTGCAAAGTCCTTCCATATCTGATTTTGAAAGTCATGAAAATACAGATTATGCATCACAGGCGCTTGTTTCCGTAATAAATTTTTAACCCATAATATATGTTTTTATTATACTATGGGTGAAAAAATTTATAACAGAAATAAGTGCCTGTGTTATGCATCCACGACCACTCGATCACACTAGAAATAGAAAGTATAATAATTCTTTTATCATTGCTTTATTTTATAGTATGTGTACACAAAGTAAAAGTTGTCTGCTGACTTGTATTAATAAGACAAAGGCTTTGGACTCCACTGTTTTCGCAGTAACCATATCATCACAATACATAGCTGATTCTTGATCACTGAAAAATAAAAAATAAAAATAATAACAAAAATAATAACAAAAAATAATAATAATTAGGTGAAATGGACAAGTGAAAAAGGACAAATTCTTTTTTTATGTCCCCGTAATTGAAGATTCGGGGGCATATAGTTTTTGCTCCGTCAACCTATCTGTTTGTTTGTCAGCAAAGACTTTAACTTTGCCCATAACGTTTGATTGGTTGGAGCTATAACTTTCACATGTGTATTCCTTGTGACAAGACTTTCTTTGGGTACCAACATTTCTGACCTCTTGACCTTGGAATTTGACCCACTTTTGCAAAATTTTACCAAACTTTAACCTTGGCCATAATGAAACAGAAACAGGTTTGTGCCTCCGCTTGGATTTGAACCCGGGACCTCTGGCATATCAGTCATACCAATTGAGGATGCCGTGTATCTTTCACTACCATATTAACTTTTGAACGGTTGGTGTTAGGGCTTTCATACTTTACATGTAAATTACTTGTGATAAGACCTTTCCTTGGCTACAAATATTTTTGACCTTGACCTTAAAAGTTTGACCCACTTTTGAAAATCTTTAACCTTGACCATAAGTTCGTTGGTGCTCGGGCTTTCATATTATACATGTATATTTCTTGTGACAAGACATTTCCTTGAGTACCAACAAACTTTTGAAGGGTTGGTTCCAGGGCTTTCATATTTCACAGGATATTCCTTGTGACAAGATCTTCCCTTGGGTAACACACAAGTTTGTCCCTTTGTCCTTGAAGTTTGAGTTACTTTTGAAAACCTTTAACCTTAGCCATAACTTTCAAATGGTTAGTGCTAGGGCTTTCATATTTCACATGTATATTCCTTGCGACAAAAAATTCCCTTGGATACCAATATTTTTTATCTCTTGACCTTGGAGTTTGACTTGCATTTGAGAAACATTAACCTTCGCCATGAGCGGCCATACGGGGTATCAGTGTTTTACAAACACATCTTGTTGACATTGACATTATACGTGGTAAATACGTAAACAGTAGTTTGATATTTGGCTTACAAGGGTATAGAAGTTAGCTGTGTCGTTGGGATTATGATCACATGAGGGGCTCTTAATCACAGTGCAAAATGATCTTCTAAGGCTTTAAGGTTCTTAATGTTAAGTGTTAAATCTATGTGGTTTGTGTACGAAATTCTACAATTATATATTATTCAGAAAATAATAATCCTGTCAAAGCAGGTTATTCTATTGCAATTATGATATAGGATCTAAATAGTTCGCAAGTTTAAAAAGGGGGGTTGCGCATACAATAAGGAAAACAACACTGTAATCCAAGTTGCTTTCCATCATATTCAGGAACACAGCTTTATCAACAGTGGATAAAGTAGTACTTAAATTCTGAGCAGATTATTAACATACTCTGCGGAAAGAAATTAATCTAATCTAGAATGTATCCTTGTCCATGCGTAATATCATTTTTTCTTTGCCATTGAATACCTCCCGTACTCACCACAAACTTAAAGAGATTACCACTAAGTTACTGACTACGCACCTACTGGATACACTTTTACCTTTAGTCTATCACTGCGTCTCTGGCTTCTTGGGCAAGTCGCCTGGCTTGTTCTAACCGAGAGCGAAACTTGTCTCCAATGCCACGAGCAGCCTCTCTAGCGAGATCTAGCCCAGTGTGGGCCGCATCATGGGCGTCTTGCACAGCCTGTCTAGCGAGGTCAAACCCAGAGTGGGCCGTTTCGTGGACGTCCTGTGCGGCTTGTCTTGCATGGTCTCTAGCAGTGTTCCATCCACTCCGGGCACGTCCGAGGATTCTATCCCACCAGCTTTGTGCCGATGCCTGCTCTGTATATATAATTGCGATCAAAACTACCACCACTGTGATTGTAGATGTCCTCATCATAAAACTGAAAATAAATTATAATTGTAATTTTTGTTATTTTCAGTTCTCTAGATACATGTACATACCGGGCTTCACGCTTTAATCTTCTTGTCCCATTTTGGCTTTAACGGTCACCCTTCAGATATACTGTCTCCTAACGTGGATTTTGTTATGTGCTAGAAATAATTACAGAAATTAATTATATATAAAATGATACTTACAAATTTTCTGATGATACATGCAACAAGACCACGGAGTTAACAAATGTTTATATTACAAGTCATTCACGCACTTAGAGAGTCTGAAGCGCGTATTTCCTTTCTTGTTCTTAAGAGTGTACTAGCCTCCTAAAAACGAAGGAGGTCAACCTGATTACATGACTGAATATGAAACCTTTTTTTTTTTTACCTTTTCACCATTGTAAATAGATATAAAAAAAAGTGTCTTTCCTGTCAAAAGAGTGAGAAGTATGACCGTTAAGAAGACATTTACTTGGCTTTGGGTTGGGTCTAATTTAATCAAATATCTGGATTTCAAAACTGTGTTCGCATGGATAATGCTAACAATTGAAATTACAAGCTTTTAATTAAGAAAGCCCTCCGTTTTCACGAATTTCACTCAATCCGAAACATAAAAAATAAATTTTTTAAAAAATCAATTCAATACAAAATCTGGAAAAGGAGGGGGCGTCCTTTTCGATCTTCTAACTGCAGAAGTGAACCCTGTAGTTTGTACATTTTAGTGCTAACCAATGAATTCTGAGTAGGGGGAAGCCTTACCTAAAAGAAGGTGTAAGTCTATTTGGAGGGTTACAATTTTAAAAGGTTACACAACAGCACTACTTTTGCCTGTCTGTAGTCACAAGTCATTACACAGTCAACCATAGACTCTGTCCTCTCCTCCTGCTGCTTCTCAAAGCCCTCCTCCCCTTCCAGGTTTTATTGGTCCTCATTCATGCTTCACTCATCCCTCCCCTAGGCTTCTCCTCTTTAAGGTTTACTACTTGTCAGCCTCTGTCCTCCTCCCTAAGGCATTACCTTTCCCTCTGCTTCTCTAGAGATTACCCTTCTCCCTTTCTATAGGGTCCACTCCTTAATTTTTCTCAAGGGTTTATCAACTCATCCTTCTCTTCCTTATGGGTTCAATCCCCTTCCCCTATCCTCTCCTAGGCTTCGCTCCTTTTCTTTCTCCAGAATGTGCTCTTCTTCCTTCTCCTCATTAATGCTTCAATCCTCTTCCTGCATTGTCTCAAGATCAAATGAATGCACTAGTGTTTCACAGGGAAAGTATATCTGAATTTTTGTTGTTTTTTTTTTACGATTTAGTTCAATATGTGTTGTCTCAGTAAAATGGTAACATGCACTAAGCATGGAGGGGTGGGGTCATTTGTAGGGCTGGGACGATATATCGAGATATCGATTCAATATGAGGATGATACGCATATCGATACGTATGAAGAAATATCGAAATATCGCAAAAAAATTCTGCCTTATGTTTTTTTCTTTGTTCACTTAACATTTTGGGTTACTTATATAAAATAAATATGCAAAATAGAAATATAAATATGAAATACATAATGATAAACACCACCTGTGTAAAATAATTTTGTTTTACAACAGATATACAACTTCTTCAAATAAATTATTCTTATTCCTGAAGAAATGTTTTGTTCATTTCAATACAAAAAATTTTTATGACTAATTCAACATATCGTATCGTGGCTCAAATATCGTGATACGTATTGATATAGAAAGTAATGTGTCGTCCCAGCCCTAGTCATTTGGCTGCTGCCAGAAAAATATTTCTCGGCAGCCCAAAAATATTTTGTACCTGTCAGGTTACAATATATGTACGTGTATCTTTGGTCTTTTTTTTTTGAACAGTAAAGCATATTTGTAGAGATCAAAGATATACCAACTTGCAACAAAATAATTAGCTCTTTAATTTCATGATAACTGCATACTACTCTTTTGCAGGGCAAATTAATAATGTTTGGTTAAGTTTTTGTTAACAAATAATTAAATTACCTATATAAAACAATTGATTTTATGTCACATTTCTTCAAACTATATCAGTTTGCCTTGCAAAAAGAGTAGTACTGCAATTATCATTAAACAGTCTATACTTTGTTTTCAATCCAAAAAAGTAATATTTAATGATTTAATGTTGAAATTTGTAACATTTATATTCTTGTTACCCTAGTATTAAAATCAATAGATGTACATGTAATTATGTGCCTCTTGGCTTTATTCAGTATGTATTTAAAACTTTGACTAAATTTCCTTATTTTGCACCTGTATATTATAAAAGACACACATTTCAGTTCTACTAATTTATTATGCTATGCCACAGTATATCATCATAACAAATAATCAAACAAATCAACACACAACAATGTACTACCTCTATAATGTTACATTTCACCCAAAGTATGGTGAAGACAAAAAGGTAAGAAAAATATTCATTACTATATATTCTCTAAATAGTTTCTAACTCAGAGAAAATCTTACTGAAGAAAAAATAATCTGCACAAGTTTAATATGGCCCTTAAAAAGAGACAGTCCCACTCAAGCGGAAGAAATATGGCGAGATTAATTAACCTCTACATTAGTCTCCCTCTATTATATAAATAAATGCAAAGAGTATTGCGTTGGAAATTGATGCTATAGAATATATGTTAAGATAAAAATGGGTGAAAATAAATATCATATTGCAAAAACACCCAAGGAGAAGATCTTAAATATTACTTTATGGTTTGGAGCACACTCAACCATTACACATACAATTCACTCCGAGTTGCAATTGGGAAAGAATGACAACTCTGTACAGGAGAATGGATTTGAAGTAAAAGACGCTCATCATATGACAGGTGCCATTGCCAAAACATTATAGTTACTGTAAAGCCAACCTGAGAGGGTAATGTAGTATTCCAAACATCAAATCACTGTTTGAAATCATAAAACATCATCTTCTTGGAGAGATATTATGAAATCACAGTCTTTAAAGGACGGTTTTCTCAGATGAATGTGTTGCTTTGAATCTTCGTATAAGAAAATTAATTTAAGAATACAGTGTATTATGAAACATAGTACATGTATATGAATGTTAAATAATAAAACAATTGTTGACCTTTGTTTCTTTTGTATCAATAAATTTAATTTTTTTTTAAATATAATAAATTTTTCAATGAATCTATAACAAATGTCAATAATTATGTAAAGGAATGTTTGGAATGGCTTGCATAAAATGATTCGTATTCCAACTTTCTTTTTCAAAGTTGTGCAACAACAACCGGATACACCTGAGAAACATTGTCCACATACAAACTACACAATATGGCAATGGAATGATAGAAATTCACATCCCCTTTATAAAGGTTTGACAAATATCTTAACCTAAGTACACAGCCTTAGCAAAAAACACCCCTGATGGATTGACAGTGATATTGATGTTGTCCGTTGGCTTAAACATTCCTATAAAACGTCCATCAAATACTTCTGTCACATTGTAAGCCCCTGGCCCTACCATTCCTACTGTTTGACACTGCACACTCAACTGTAGGAAAACAAAAGATTCATAATCTATAAAACAGAGTACCGGGTAGTCAATGGTGGAATAAATGAAAAAGTACCATGCTGGTTCAAACTGTCTACTTATTTTTAAGAAATGAATCCTATTAATTTCTTTCTTAAGACAGAAGTAAAAATTGTGATCATGGTTTAAATCCCTATTGTTCATGTTAATGAGAAGTGTGTAAAGACCTTTATGTCTTACTCTATGCTTTAAACAGAGATAAGTACTAGTCTAGCAACCTCTGTAGGGTGTAGACAATCTTTTATTTTATAAGGAGGCAGATATCATGCAACTTTTTTAAAATTTTGCAGAGAAAATTTATGGCAGAAAGATACATGTATGTGTTGTCATAAAAGGAACACTAAAAGGATATTTCACAGGCCATAGCCATTGAGCATATGAAATTTAATGCCTGTCAAGCAAAGGCTTCCCAAGATAATGAATGAACATTTTAATATGTGAACATATCAGGAATATTGACCTTTGCAAGGAATAGATTTTGTCCCAGTGTGCATGAATCGGTGTTTGTTGTCAAAAGCTATTAATCTTCTTTAGTTTGTATACATATATAGTAAAGCAAAAACAATTAAATAAAAATAAACCACTATACTGGTTCTACCTTTTCTGGAGTTCCTCCTGATCCAGTGTAAAGAATTGCGAAGGCGACACTTCCCTGTGGTGTCACCGGCCGAAACCAGAACTGTATTTGGTTCATCTGTTACAGAGAAACAAAAAGTGTACATTACAGACACACAAACTCTAAAAATAATGTTTATGAATACTGAATTTTACATATTGCAAATTAAACGGTCAAGGGAAGCAATTACTTCTACTAAGTTTTAAGTATTTACTTACATCTACCAATAAAGCCCCTGGCTGTCCTAAGGGATCCTGATTTATGGCTATCACTCCCTTGTGCTGTAGGAGGGCCTTTGAGTAAGGGTCAATTTTCCTGAGGTCTGTGGACATGATCAGAGGAGCTGCCATGATAGCCCACAATGCCATTTGTGATTTCTGCTGTTCCTTACTCAAGCCAAAGTTTCCAACTATTATCTACAAATGACATTGCACTTTCAACAACTTGAGGATTTTTGTTTGTAGCTACATGCATTTTCTTAATGCTTTACATGCTGTCTTTTTAATGTGCCCTTTTAAAATTACTGTCAAATTATGAATTTATACATATACAATAAAATGACAGTGCTATTTCATGATAGCTCTAACTATAGTCTGTCCCATGGTACCAAGGACCTCACTTTTCGCCTCATATCTCAAAATGTATAAATAATATAGTACATGACTTAATGATGTACTAACTTTAGGAAATATGAAAAAATACACATATTATGTTATAGTAATTTGATATTTCTTTCAATTAATGTTCTTCTTATAAAATTCTTTGAAACTTTCTGACAATAAAGAACATACCATATCAGGATCATTAAAATTTCCTGGGCCTGCTACATCAGAAAAATTTCCCTTGTTTTTGCCATAGTATCCAATGATATCGGCTACACTATCCCAGGAGTCCTGAATATCATCATAATTTCTCCATATGTTACAGCTCTTGGCAATAGCTTTGTAATCAGGCTGCAAGAAAGGGGGCATAGGTCAGAGAAAAAACTTCAAGTAAACTTAAACTACATTTTTTTTTCACATTTTACTTGTTTTTTCGGATGACCAATTTTTGTTGCTACTATTTTTGAAAGAATCTGACATCTACATGTGAGCTTCAGTTCTGAGATTGAAACTAGTCAAGTGAGTAATAGCTACATGCAAACCATCAAAAGAAGTTGGACTTTTAGTGTAATATTTACAAGCATAAATTTTGAATGCAGATTGACTACATGCATGATTTCAAGGTATTCATTGGCAAAGTTTTCTATATCTGATATAGATAATGGTAAAAAAATTATATTTTAAAAGAAAAAAACACTGCTAATGTGTCCTCCTATGCTTTACTTACAATTTTATCATTGGCCACAAAGTAAGCAGGCCAACTGCAAGAGTAGAGAATAGGTCTGCCTGTTTTGTTGAGGAAAAACTCCATAATAGGATAACCTGGGAAAAAGATGTTTTTATATATAAAAAAAAACAATCTGAAAATTCATTATTAACAGAACAAGAGGCCCATGGGCCACAACGCTCACCTGAGCACATTGGCTAGGCAAAAGCATAAATCAATTCAGTATTGAAAAGATTAGGGGGCTTGAATTTTAAACTACCTGATGATGCTTCCATGTCAATATAACAAATGGCTTTGTTGTACTTGAGAAGATTTTAAAAAAATTTTCCCATATATTCCAGGGTTTGACACTAAGGCACGTCCGACCAACCCAGTCTAGTAAATGAGTGGTCTGGTCATGTTAAATGTTCATGAACTAGACCAACTGGTCGTGTGGATGAAATAAATGTTAACCCTTATTTCAGTCTTTCAAATAAATGCTCTAAAAACTTTTTAAAGAAATTTTCTTAATTTTCCAATTGCAAACACAGCCATTGCTCTGAAAAAGAAAACTTCCCTGCATGACACAATCACTATTTTTGAGCCTGGCTGTAATAGACAAGTCACAATCAAAACTAGCTTCGTTCAGTATCATTTGGTATGAATAGTCATTGAATAATATAGTTTTTAATTTATTTACATGTATATTTACGATAATAATTTTATTGAAGTTCCTTGATTTAATGTTCTTTAAAGCTTATAATATTCGCATGTTAACTCATTGGGCTGCTTCCTATGGGCTCATTGGGCTGCAACCTATGGAACACTCTATCAAAATGTATACATGAACACGACAGTTCAACACGTGCGAGAGATACACTGTAGTATGATTTCGAAACTTTTTACCACTATAATAGCAGGTTATAAAAAGAAAATTTTCAAGTTTGGTCAGAGCTAGTGATTTTATGGTCAGGGCTAGTAAAAATTATGGGAAGTAGCCCGACTGGTCTAGTACTCATAAAAGTTAAGGTCAAACCCTGTATTCCTTTGTAAAATTTGATCCCTCATTGTGGCTCCTCCCTATCCCAGGGGTCAACATTTGAACAAACTTGAATCTACACTACCTGAGGATGCTTCCATATAAATATGACTAAACATAGCTTTTCTGTTCTTGAGAAGAAATATTTTTTCTAAATGTTCTTATGTAAAACTTTCGATCCCCCACTGGGCCCCACCCTACCCCCGGGAGTCATCATTTGAACAAAATTGAATTTACACTACCTGAGGATGCTTCCATATCAAAATGACTAAACATGATTTTCAGTTCTTGAGAAGAAGATATTTTCCTATATATTCCTGTGTAAAATTTTTGATCCCCAATTGTGGCCCGACCCTATCCCCTGGGATCATCATTTTAACAAACTTGAATCTACACTACCTAAGGATGCTTCCATATCAAAATGACTAATCATGGCTTTTCAGTTCTTCAGAAGAAGATATTTTCCTATATATTTGATTTAAGACTTTTGATCCTTTAATCCTCCATTGTGGCCCCACCCTACCCCTGGGGGTCATGATTTGAACAAACTTGAATCTACACTACCTGAGGATGCTTCCATATAAATATGACTCATCATGGCTTTGCTGTTCTTGTGAAGAAGATTTTTAAAGATTTTTTCTATATATTTCTATGTAAAACTTTGATCCTCCATTGTGGCCCCGCCCTACCCCGGGGTCATGATTTGAACAAACTTGAATCTACACTACCTGAGGATGCTTCCATATAAATATGACTCATCATGGCTTTGCTGTTCTTGAGAAGAAGATTTTAAAGGTTTTTCCTATATATTTCTATGTAAAACTTTGATCCTCTATTGTGGCCCCGCCCTACCCCCGGGGGTCATGATTTGAACAAATTTTCATCTACAGTACCTGAGGATGCTTCCACATGAGTTTCATCTTTCCTGGCCCTGTGAGATGAAGATTTTTAAAAGATGCTATTAATTTTTCACTAATTCTTTATTCGATCTTTTATTCTCCTTGAAAGAGGGCGTGGCCCTTCATTTGAACAAACTTGAATCCCCTTCAGCCAAGGATACTTTGTGGCAAGTTTGGTTGAAATTGGCCCAGTGGTTCTTGAAAAGAAGTTGAAAATGTTAAAAGTTTACAGACAGACAGACAGACGGATGCCAGACAAAAAGTGATCAGAAAAGCTCACTTGAGCCTTTGGCTCAGGTGAGCTAAAAAGTAGGAACATTTATTTTGGATTAGCCTTACTCCATCCCAATATTTCATATCAGCAAAAAAAAATCTGAGGAGACATCAGAACTTATAGTGCTAAGTGTGTCTAGCAAAATAAAACATGTTGGTTGAGAGAACTCACCAGAAGTCATGTCTTCTACATTACTATAACAACCATCTAATTTCAGTAGGTCTACACCCCAGTCAGCAAATGTCTGAGCATCTGTTTCCATGAAGAACTTGCTCCCTGGGAATCCTCCACATGTTTCTGTCCCAAAGTCCTCATAGATCCCAAACTTCAGGCCTTTACTGTGAATCTAGAAAAGTGCAAGACATTGTGATTTTTTTCTGTCAAACATCTTCAGTCTATTAAAAATTAATTCTAGTAAATTCTAAATAATATTAGAGCTCTTCTGTAATGTCAACTTAAAAGAAAATACCCTGTAATACAAACCCAAAAACTTTACTTTAGTTGGCATTATAACACAAGCAGAAATTAAAAATTTCATGTCCACCACAAAATGTAAAATATCATATATATAACTACTCAACAATTCTACATTCACCATGTCCACAAATCCATAGTTTTTCCTCAAACCATGAAAATTTGACCCCATGAAAACATGAGATTTTACAGTATTTTATTGAGAGTTCCTTTAAAATAAGAACAAAATGTGTCTAGTTTTCATCAACCTCACAATAAAATCTGTGATTAAGCTTACATAGTCACCCAGAGCTTTCATGCCACTGGGAAACCGGTCAGGATCTGCCTGCAATTTTCCGTCAGGTCCACGTTTTCTTGCCATCCAACAGTCGTCCACATTCACATACTGATATCCAACATCTTTGTAGCCGTCCTCCGCAATTCTGTCTGCAATCTGCATGTACAGTTTCTCTCTGAAATGAATTATATTACAAATCATGATCTAATAAGTACATGTACATGTATATCAAATCATCTGTTATACATGTACCGTATATACTCGCCTATAAGTCGGTTTTTTGGGAGTTGAATTTTGGTCCAAAACTCTATGTCTGACTTATAGGCGAGTCATATAAAGATTAGAATTTTTCTGGACGGCGAAATGTAGAATTTTATATGCATTTTCCACGATTATGGTTGAACAAGGTCTGGATATACTATATCATTCATGTGTTCTAAAATTATACATAAAGTACAAGTATATGTATTATGTATTTTTCTTAATAATTTAAAATTCAATATCGGCGTCATTTATAAAAATATTAATTAAAACCAGGTTAAAACATCAGAGCATTGATTTGAAATTGTCAACTGATTCTGGCAAAAAGTTGTACCGACTTATAAGCGGGTCAATTTCAAATCCCTTCAAAATAACCTCAAAATATATAACCGACTTATAGGCGAGTATATACGGTAATTTCACTGTAGTTTAAAATCAGTAACTGTTCATTAGCACTGATGTCAATACAATATAAATTCTTATTCATGCAAAATAATTTGAAGTACCAACTATTATTGTGATCATGCATGTTATACCTTATTTTAGTAAAAAATTGCCTTAGAAAAGAAATATATTATCAGAAATTTATTTTTTCCCTTAGTTGGTGTTATTCAAACATGTACATGTGTGTTGTAGTTGTCTTTCCTATGTTTATGGTGGACTTTTGCGAGAAGCACTGACTTTTACAGTCAACGGCTTACTTTGACATTTAAACCTGCCTTTTGTACGGAGGTACGTAATTGATAATAGATAAGAAAACTTTAATAGTGGTTAGAGGTATTTTGTTTGGGGCACTAACATGATTAACTGGTATGCAATCAACGCTACAGATGATGGGAGGCAGAATTAAATATCTTAAATTACCTTATATGTGAGGGTTAGTATCTCCTTTCAATTTTATTTTCTGAATAAGGAAGAAAAAACATTCCAGAAGGAAAACTAAGCAAGCAGGGCTCTCGATTCTATTTAATTGGGGCCGATATTCGGCCCCGTTCCCAACGTGAAAAAGGCACCTTTTTCCCAAATTTGAGTGTAAAAGTTCCCAATGTATGATTGCTTAAAATTTATTACTGTAAAAAAAATAGCATATTTTTGACAGTCGTAAAAGCACTGTGAAGATATATGAAGGAAACACTTCCGTGTTGTAAACTGGTAGTTCGTATATATGCTGGAACCAGTTTAAAATGAAAGCGAAAGTCGACTATAGTACCGTATTTGGCCGAATATAATACGCACTGGTGTAAAATACGCACCCCCACCCCTTTTTGAGCCTGAAACTGGGGGAAAACGCAGTTCGGTTGTATTATACGCAGCAGAAAATTTTACCAAGCGGTGTTCTGAACTTCTGAAAATCGCGGTAATTTGCTATGAAAATCAACGCGGAGATAAAGTGCCGAAAATTTACAGAACACGATATTTTCTGAACTTCTGAAAATCGCGGTAATTTGCTATGAAAATCAACGCGGAGATAAAGTGCCGAAAATTTACAGAACACGATATTTTCTGAACTTCTGAAAATCGCGGTAATTTGCTATGAAAATCAACGCGGAGATAAAGTGCCGAAAATTTACAGAACACGATATTTTATTCAAATGCGAGATAATGTTGCATTAAAGTATTAACAGAGTTTATTATTAATTTTTTTTAGCATACGGTGATAATGAAATTATACGTCGCCGTATTCTAACTATTCTTTGTGGAAATTATTTTATTCCTACAAAGCACGAGATATTGTTGCAAGTTTAACAGTTGTCATATTTATTTTTAGTTTAAGGTAATCATGTTGAAAATTATGTAAATTAACAGGGCAAGCGATATTGCAACATCAAAGTATTCATAGACTACGATTTTCTTCTTTTGAACTTGAAATTAATTAATTAAATAAATAGCTGATGTTATAAAAATAAAAATCAAATTTTAACAAGCGTGTAAAGTGTAGTTATCAACACACCTCCAAAGCTGTGAAAAATGATGTACAAAGGTGGGATATATGTCTTCATACAGCGAGGTAATCTTCGTGGATATCTTATTTTCTACAGAGCACGAGTAAATGATAACACTTAAGTTTCAACATACTTCATATTTCCTTTTTTAACTCTCAATCATTTTAATATGAGGCCGATATAAGATAAAGTAAAATTACATTTAACAAGCGTTTTACTGTTTAATGTGTCGTAATCAATACACGCTAATACGTACGAAAGATCATAAACCAACCCCCGATTTTTAACAAAGAAAATAATCAAAGCCATTAATAAGGGCAGTAAATAATCAGTGCTCTAACTGTAAAAACAATGCTTTGGAGTCGGTAAACAACTGAATTTCCTGAAGGGGTGTTGAGGGGTAATTATCAATTGACAAGCGCACGTGTTCACAACATTGGTTTCCATTCATTTGGTTGTGTAGAGGGGTGTTTATGTTGAAATTAATTTTCACTGAGTTATTTAAAACCTAAAATAAATTTTATTTTATTGTATTTCATTAAAAAATGACTTATTACTTTTTTGACCGAGTGTCTGACTGATTAGGTACACGTGTACTATGATTACGGAAGCACGTGGAAAAGGAATGTGTGAACATCTATAAATAACATCGTTAATGGCGGCCTACACGGAGAGGATAAACATGCAGCACAAATTAATTTTAACTTGCTTTCAAATTTAATTTAACTATCAAAAGGTTATAAATATAACATTTTTAACAAGCCTACATTCCAACAATAACTTTCCAGAGTTTTAAATACGGCGATAAACAGCAAGAAATTGCGTAAGTCTCTAGGTAATACTACGGTATGTACGTATGATAACAATGTTTCACATGAAAGAAACACCTATCAAAATCCAATTGTGGTGTAAAATACGCACCCCTTTCTCACAGAAAATTATTTTGGGAAAAAAGTGCGTATTATATTCAGCCAAATACGGTAAATTACGAATTCTCTTAGGTACGACTTGTTTATTCACAAATATGTCGCATAATGTGAATACTATAGAAAAAAGACAACTAACAAATGTAAGAAAATAGACACTTTGTTTACACAACAGGCTGCCGCTCTACAATTAGCAGAATCTCATTCTGAGTTAGTGGTTACTGAAACCCTGCCCTAGAGCATTTCAGGACATCCAAAGACAAACATTTAAAGTTCTGACCAGAGCCCTAAAGCATTTCAGGACAATTAAAGACAAACATTTTATTTTAAAGTTCTAAACATCTGAACAGTCAATTACATGTCTAATTAAGATCTACCTTGAATAAATAAGATGACTTGTTTTCAGTTTCTATGATTATTCTGTGTTTATTTGATTTTTCTTGTTTAAAAGAGTTAAAATTATGATTGGTAAAAATTTCCCAATTTTTATAAAAACAACGCTTTTTTCCCAATTCCATTGGCCCCGGCCCCAGTACCAAAAATGGGTGTGAGAGCCCTGGCAAGAGTTGGTCAATGTGGGAAGGGAGGGGGTTGAGGGTATGGTGGTTTCTGTTCCCTTCCTAGACAGTGTAATATGTGCTTTGAAATGGCCCATTATTATCATTTACTTAACTGTTAAGCTTAATATTTATATCGCAAAAGAGCTTCTGTATACTTTCCTAGTGTAAAAGTAAGCCGTGGATTGTAAAAGTCAGCGCTTCTCACAAAAGTTCACTAGTACATGTACAATGTTGATAAATTATGTAAATATTAGAATTCAAATGCTGTACATTTTTTAATGCACATTAAGAACTTCCTCATAAATGTATGTAAACATTTTGTGTTGATATTATGCAAGTATTATGATATCATGATGTATGTATTGGAATACAAATATAAATTTCTTTACCTTATTGTTGAACATAAGGAACTTTTTATTTATAAATATATACTAGTCCTACAAATTACATACAATACCATCCCAATAGATATTACAAAATGAATTTATTTTGGAAATGGCCATTTGGAATTACTATGTATCAGATCTCCCTTATCACAACAGGAAAGTAATTCAAGTGGGAAAAGGGGAAAATCAATTCATTCAAAGGTACCATTCACAGCCCACAATGAAAAAAATGTGCCTAAAGTGGTAAATTATATTAAATGCCAGAACAATTGCACAAAATATCTTCATAGATTTAGAATAAAAGATCGAATAAAAAGTCATTTCTTTAGAGGTAAACTAAAGTTATTAAAGGTGCTTGGACACAGATTTCAAGTTAATATTTTCTCAAGTTTTCGGTATAATATCATGACTTATATGTTGCTATAGCATTTCAAACAGAAATAAAATAAAAAAAAATTATTTTATCTGGAAATTATTGAAACTACAAATTTCGGGATGCATTTGATTGATACATCCTAGCACTTTCATAAAGCAAACTTTATCCTTAATACTTAAGAAAATTAAAATTTTTGTTGTGTATTAATGAAAAATATTACACTATAATCCAGAAAATTCAGAGTAGAAGTGTAAGAAAACAAAACCAACTCACCAGTATTGTCAGTCAATGCTCAGTGATGTGTGCAGAGTTTAACAAATTGAACACACCCGGTGAAACAT